GTTGCATCCCTAACCTGCTAAACTGCTGGCAGATATTAAAACATATGTATAAGGAAAGCTATAAGGGCAGTTAAAAAATATAACAAGGATTTGGTTTATAAACTGTTTATTTCTAGAGATGATAACACAATATAAAGATGGAATTCACTATATTCATATTTTTAAATTTTGATTCACAAACTGAATTATCCAACTTACAGACGGAATTATCTGAAACAGAAAAAGGAAATGTTTGCCATCACGTGAAACATAGATTTAAAGAAGCGTTTATACAGAGGCGTAGCCAGGATTTTTGGTCAGGGGGGGCCAGACAAAACCCAGGTGGGGCCCAAAAATTTTTCCGGAAAAAATTTTTTTTAAATCTTCTCCCCCCCCCGTCGACAACTTTTTTGGTAAAAAAATTTTCCGGACGATAACATTGCAATTGCTTTCGGAGCACTTTTCCCGATTTCCGTATCACTTTTTCCGATGCTTCACCCGATTCCGACAGGATTGACAATTTTTTCAATTTATCTGAGGGGGCCAAAATTTTGCCAGGGGGGGCCCAAAATTTTGCCAGGGGGGGCCGGGCCCCCCGGCCCCAGCCCTGGCTACGCCTCTGTTTCTTCACCATGTAAGACATGTAAACGTGCTTTCAAATTTTTAGCAAAAAAATTTGAAACGACGCTATCCCATGACACCTTGCGCTCCGCAACTTAAACTAGGCACCAGGCCTCCAGGCAATGCGCGAACTATTGCTTCAGTACTTTCTCTACGAATATAAGGAATATTTGCAAATGTTTTCTATCAATTACTGACTGGTAATTAATTTATTTATAATAAATTCTTGGAAAATGAAAATTCTCTACAATGATTCAATAAAACATGGAAAGAACTCAACTTTAGAAATTAAATTAGAATGTAGTTATATGGTATCAGGGATGATGGAAAGGGGGTGGGGCAAGGTCTCCTTTCCTAAAGGGGGCAAATGTAGCATTTTGGTATAAATAAAACACAATATTTTTGTCACAAATTTACTTAAAGTGGAAGTCAAATCCGTTCTGCACATCGGTCTGCTCATAACAATGTGAGGACCTCTGATGTAGACATTGCCCAAATTTCGAATGTTTCGAATTTTTCTGAATATATTAAAACTCTATTTCATATTTATTTAGAAGCATAGCGAACCAAAATGGTGTTAGATATTCAGACAGTACATCATATTTTAAAAAATACAGCTGTTCAAAATGTAAACAAACCGTTTGTTTACATACGGACTTGACTTCCACTTTAAATAACAAATTAATTAACAAAGATAAATATGATAGAAGAGAATTTGTATACTTAATTAGCTATTTCCCAAAGTCCTGGGTCTAGTTGCACAAATCCCTTGTTGGAGGGACAACAAATATGGCAGCACACATTTCAATTAAAGTTTAATGTAAAAAGGAGATCTTTCATTTTTAGTCGTGTAAAAAGTTGATATTTGATAGTAGATACTTCTACTCTTTCACATATTTGATGTCTGTCTCCATATATTTTGTCCCTCCTATACTATAATATGTACAAAAACTAACCCATAGCCTCCTCAGAAAAATACATAAAATCGCTTAAATATGCAATATATAATCTGGTTTGATAGTATTCTACTTTGAAACATCTTTAGTTATTTTGTACTGCATCACTGAAGTATAAAAACCCCGTCACAACAGCATATGTTCTCAATACAAGGAACAAAGGTTACAAATCAGAAACAAATTATAGGTTACCTAAAGGAACCAATGTTACAAATAGTAACAGGCTACGTTACGTTAAGGAACCAATGTTACAAAAAGGAACAGGCTAAGTTACGTTAAGGAACCAATGTTACAAAAAGGAACAGGCTAAGTTACGTTAAGGAACCAATGTTACAAAAAGGAACAGGCTAAGTTACCTAAAGGAACCAGTGTTACAAAAAGGAACAAGCAAAGTTACCTAAAGGAACAGGCTAAGTTACCTAAAGGACACTAAGTTACAAAAAGGACCTGATGGTCCTTTGTGTAACAAGTTTGGTTACACAAGGGCACCAGCAAGTTACACAAAGGATCATCGATATAACAGTCAGTCAGTCAGTCAGTCAGTCAGTCAGTCAGTCAGTCAGTCAGTCAGTCAGTCAGTCAGTCAGTCAGTCAGTCAGTCAGTCAGTCAGTCAGTCAGTCAGTCAGTCAGTCAGTCAGTCAGTCAGTCAGTTTTAAATCTTTATTGCCTCCAATTTCTGAAGAGTAGGTATATTTACAAAGGAAGTATTAATAATAAAATAAAGATAGTGAAAAAACTAACTATTGTTACCGAACTAGCTAACTAAATTACTCCTATAACAAAAGGAAACATAACTTGCAGATTTCAGCAATAGCTCCGTCCATATGTCTGTGTTTGCACATAATACTTCTAACTTTTTACCTAATATAACTAAGAGAAATTCCATGTCTGTCAAACTTGCTAAATGTACTGCCATTTCGATTGGCATAGTATCGTTTATCCATTCCCATAGTTCTTCTCTTAATTGGCTTGTGCCATTACAATAAAGTAGTGCATGCTTTACAGGATTTAAGAAATTGCTATTACAAACATTACAATAGTCTCTATAAGTTTCTGGTTTGTTCACCCGTTTTCCTTTAATTTTGTAAGATCCACAGAGTAGTCTTAGAACATCATTAATTTCTTTCATAAAGTCCGGTTTCATTCTAGCTAATAACCACCATGGTGAAATTTCAATCACAGGATGAACTTCTGCATGCATAAAGTTTTAGTTGACCATGCGTACTTATTTTTTCTTGCCAGATATTGTTATAGTACTCGTATATATGTTTTTTAACAATTTTCTTCCATGCAGATTTGCTTGGAAATTGATCGGATAAAATATACCCTGTTAGAAAGTCCATGAGATCATATTTCAAAAGAATTCGTACAATATTTGGAATGAATCCTTTTAAGGTGTTTGTATGGTTCCACTTCCAACGTATTAATCTCATGAGGAAGATCTTTCTGCACGGAACACCATGACTCATTAGTATAAGTCGTCCCAGAAAATACAATTTCCGTTTATCGACTTCAGCTTCGATTGGTGGTAAGCCCAGCAACCCTCTCGCAGCAGACCCTGATATTCCAGGTAATAACCCCTGTATAATACGCACCGTAGTATTTTGCACTTTTTCCAGTTCAACAATGTCATTACAATTCAATTGCCAGAGCTCGGAACCGTACAACATCTTTGGGATACCAATCCGCTTCCATAACTGAACTGAAATTATAGGATTTAATCCTCCATATCGAGCTCCCATTTTCATTAAAACCATTCCTGATTCTCTTCCTCTGGTAACAGCCTTGGAAACGAATGCAGACGAATCCTTATTTACATGCCATATTTTTCCAAGATTGAACCAACATTCCTTTTCCAAAATAACTCGTGACCCAAGATGCCAATCTCTAATGCTGCGATTTACACTACGTTCCCGATAGCTTTCACCAAACGTTAAAACTACCGTTTTCGTAGCATTAAATGTAAATCTCCATTTGTTACTGTATTCCGAAGCACATCGTAACATTTTGTCCAGTCCAGATTTCATACGTGATAGCATAGTTAGATCGTCCGCAAACATGGGTGATCCGAAATACACGGTGTTGATGCAAATTCCAGATTTAATGTTGCTCAATTCCTCGATAAGGTTGTCTATGAATACCAGGAAAAGCCAGGGTGATAGAACCCCACCTTGTCTTGTACCTTGCCCTAGCTCGTATATACGAGATGATTTTCCTTCAACGATAACAAATTCTTTCATGTTCAAGTACCAATTTCGTATGAGCCGCCAAGTTTTACCAGTTACCCCTTTGGTGTAGTATAGCTTGTAAAGCATTCCATTAATCCACATAGTGTCAAAAGCTTTTGAGATGTCCATATAGGCTGCATAGACTTTGTCATTGTCCTCGGAACAGTGATTTAGCACCTCTTCAATTGCAAAACATGTCGTGAGAGCATCTTGTTGTTTTTGATATCCACCCTGGAGCGGATGATGGAGACAATTTTGTTGCTTTTGTAATCGTGATAATACTATACGTTCCAAGATTTTATTAACACAGGGCAGCAGACTTATCCCTCGATGATCATCAAACATGTGTGTTTTCTTATTGCCCTTAGGAATTGGGATTTTAACTGCCAATTTAAATGAACTTGGAATCTCTTCTCTATCGATAATACAAGTGTAAAGATTTAATAATGCATGTATAATCATTTCTCCACCACATTTTAGGTGCTCATACGTGATTCCGTCATACCCGGGGGCTTTTCCGTTTGGTAGGCCTCTAATAACCTCCGAAATTTCCTGAGTTGTTAACGGTACAGTAAATATACAGCCTAGAGCATTCTCTGATTTTTCTACGATATCATTTACTCCATTTTCAATTTCAATTCGGTGAATTCGATCGAAATTCTCATCTTCTGAAGGTGTTGCTAACTGTTCAAAATAATTTGCCCAAAGATCTGCCATTTGCTGTGAATCCGTGATAATTTTACCATTTACCTCTAATACCATTTTTTTGTTCTTTTTGTTATTCCTGCATGCCTTATTATTTAACAGTCTCCAAAATTTTTCATTATCTAAGTCTTGCAGATTACCGATATCATTAAGTTCTTTCCTCTCATACTCCCACACGGCTTTCCTCTGCTCACGTCTGTATTCGCATTTTAGTTTTTTATACTTTATATAGAAAATATTACTACGTTGTCTTGGAGATCCTGCTTTTATCCAATCTGCTCTTGCAGCCATGACGGATTTTCTTAAATCTTTAAGTTTTTTGTTCCAGAACGGTTTTATATGCTTTTTAAAATTCACTCTTGGTAACATTTGATCTGCGTTTCTAATAATTTCAATCAGTTCCTCATAAATAACGTTTGCATCACATTTATTTAATATTCTCCCAAGCATTACTTATTAATAAGTTCAGATTTTCCTGATAACTATTCAGTTGTTCCGCAGTACATCGTTTCCATGGTATTTTGTCATAAGTATTTATACTGTGATTTCCGATATCGTTTGAAATTCGGTCCAAAACTTGGACAGACAAGCATAGTTTCAGCGGTAAATGAAATGCTGTATTGTCAGGATGCTCACAAGATCTCTCTACTGAATCGAAAAACTGCATTAATGTATTATCAATAATCACATAGTCAACAATAGAGTTTCCAGTTCTAGAGATATATGTAAATTGGGGATGTTCACAAACAGGTGATACATTCGCGGGAATTAGATTTAACACATTACAAAATTCCTGTAGTTTAAGTCCCCTTTTGTTTAACATCTGATGCAGACTTGTTTCTTGCAAATGTGCATTGAAGTCCCCAAGTAGGACCAAGTTAAAGCCATAACTCTTCTGCTGGATACAAAACTGCTCTAACTCGTAAAGTATGTTTAGATAATCCGTAAAACTGTAGTTCGTAGATGGAAAATAGACTGATACCACAGCAATTTTCATGTTTTCTATTATTATTGATGCCGATACTATACGATCACAGGAAGTTTGTATTTCTCGCGCTTTTAAACATTTTTTGAAAAGCAGTGCAACACCGCCTTGGCCCCTTCTCCACCGCTCGTTTACATTATTATTTGAGCTGCTACACGAAATAACATCGAAGTTACTATCTAGACTGTCCAGAAATGTCAGCTCATCTTCATACAACCAATGCTCGCTTAATGCTAAAATATCCAATGAACGCAACAACGTTTTTACATAAATAAAGCTTCCATAAACTCCGCCACAATTCCAGCAGCCAAGTTTAATTTTCGTCAATTTTCGTAGGTCCGACATTCGAGCTATTTTTGTTTACCCACTTTTGTTTAGAGAGCCATTCCCTAACGTATACGTGCTTAGGCCAAAAGTCTTTCTCCGAGGCGCGATCAAAATCTTCACTTAGAACGTTTACTCGGACGGCTACGGTGCCTTTCCTCTTGCTTTTCATTAATCTTACAAACATTGGGGTAATTCCCTTTTTATTGATATAGTTTGAAATTAACTTATCTGTTACCCCTTCGCGTACGCCCCCTAAATAGAGTCGTTTTATTTTCCTCTTTTCAACTCCGACAAATAAATCATGGTCATCGTTAACACTGCTTGTTGCTGAATGATCACTATGAGCTTCATGACTGTGTTGCTTATTCGGGCTGTTGTTTCCCTTTGCCGGTTTCAGTAATTGAGAACTGTCTTTGGAACTATGTTTTGTTGGATTAGTTTTTGGAACACTCGAGTGATTTTCTGGGCTCAGATTTGCATTTATGTTTACAGCTGCTGCATATGTATTTTAATTAGCCTCAGGAGATAGGATTTCAATTGTTGTCGCTAATGAATTTTCCCTAATTGATTTTGCTTTGTCAGTTTTTTTTGTTTTAATTTCCTCTGAGCTCAAAATTGTATTTGCAGCTTCTACGTATATATTTTTGTTTGACTCAGAAGATTGATTTTCAATTGTTATCGCTAATGGGTTTTTACTAATTGATTTTACTTTGCCAATTTCTTTTGTTTCCTTTCTAAGTTTCTCAAGGTCTTTAGATAGCTTTTGAAAATTGCTTTCATGTTTTGCTATGTTTTCTTCATTTTTATTTAACTCAATCTCACATGATTCTAGTTTCGCCTTCGTATTTTCCAAAGAAGATTTACAATTCCCCTTAAATGTGGCAAGTTCCGATTCAAGAGCTTGAATTTTAGCTTGCTTTGCACATAAATCAGACTTTAACTCTGAGATCTCGTCTTTAAGGCATGTCACAGTCTGATCAAAGTCTTCTCTCAATGTACACAATTTTATATCTAAATTTTCAGCTAAACTCGTAAATTGGTCAATGTCAGTACAGTTCGTTATTTTTTGACCTTGCGAGCTACTGAACGACATTTCAGGATGTACAGACGAAGACTTTTTAAACAACTCATTGATCTCAACTGTGATTTCTTCTGAACAACAGTATTTCACTAAGGCAATAATATCACTCGCCAATTTCTCGTTTGCAGATTTCCCCCCAGAACGGGTTATTCTACGTAAGGGTTTGTCTTTTGGAAAGTTAGGAAATTTGTACCTGCAATATTCCATGATCTTGTCTCTTTTACCGTGTAACTTTGCCGAGGAATCCTTCGATAGTTTTGCTTTAACCGCTGCGGTCGATGTCGTTAAAATTTCAGTGTTTAATTCTTCTACAAGCTTCTGTGTTTCGCCATTATTCCCGTCCATAACCTTGTCAGTCCCTTCTGAATGATTATCGATCAAATTTATTAAAGACTGAGCCAAAATTAGGTTGTTATTTGACTTTTGAGTGGAGCTTGAAATTTCATGACCGTCCTCCATGACAGTAATTACAAAAAAACGCATTGCACGGTTTTGAAGTTTTTGAAGTTTGTTAGATAAAGTTTTCCCTAGCCTGCGAACAGGCTCACTGGGAGAAAGATGAGCCTGCACGGAACCATGCGTTTTATTTAATCATCCCCTTTTCGCATCTGCTAAACGCGAACCAATCAGCGTCGACTGCGATAAATAAACTGTCAACTGTCAAATTGACGCAAGGCGTGTACATTATTGTACAACGAAGAAATACTGAATATTAAAATGTATACATAATGTTATGTGAACAATAATACAAAGCATTAGCGGGCCGCACAATTTATTACTCGGAAAAATATAGAATTCTTCAAATATTAAATAGATATCAATACACATACAAATATAAAGCCGAATAAAATACTACCATTGGCATTGAATGTACAGTAATACTTGTACTATGTGCGACTGAAAGAACAATGTTCTGAATATTTGAAGCTGTTACTAAAATACGGGCAGATAGATTGGGGTTTGGAATACCAAATACGTCTAAAATTTTACTAACTGTGGTCTAAATAAATGATAAATGAGCATGTATTTATTAATTTCTTCGAAATCACGAGTGTGCCAATAGTGGAAGCCGTATCGACGACGAAATTGTCAGCAGTTTATACAGTTAATAGTACAACGTTTAATTAATGTACGGTATATATTTATCTAAATGACATGCCAGCGAGGATCAACAATATAATTATTCGTACATATTTGGGTATCTTTTGTATGCCTTCGCTTGCTGACTTGCTCACTAATGAGAATAATCCGTGAAGCCACGACGACCTCAAAATGTAGTACTATAGTCTGATGTCAATCCGAAGACGAAGTTCAGAATACTGTTATAGTATTGAATTTAAGCGATAGATTCAAGGCATTTATGATAGACGTTTTTGCTGTGATGCTTTGCTATTGCTTTTGGTTTCCATTTCTAGTGTTATTTGTTCGATAGTCTTATAATATATAATATTAAAATGAATAAAGTTCAAATTCTTCAAAATGCTGTTGTTGACATTTGCTATTTTTAGTAATTTTGTCAACGAGTGTAAGCCAATCAGAAGCCTGCGTTTCTATACGAACGCCACTACCAAGAAAACCTATAGTTCCGTGCAGGCCCTCTATTCTTCGCGCCGCCCGCAACCCAGGGCCTGTTCGCAGGCTAAGTTTTCCCACAATTTCCCCACACAACATTACAATAATCAAAATGTGGTTGTATTAGAGCTTGGTAAATAACATGCAATGTTTCCAATGAAACAAATGACCTTAACCGCTTAATAGCACCGATACCAGAAGCAATTCGTTTTGTCATTTTATTGATATGACTACTACTCCAAGTAAGATTTTCGTCTAATAAGACACCAAGTGATTTTGTTGTCGAAACTCGATCTAAAGGAATTCCATTTATTTCAAAAGAAGGATTGTCAGAAAGAGTACTTAAACGTTGTCTCGACCCAATTAACATGTACTCAGTTTTAGTCATATTTAAAGTAAGTTTATTTGATATTAACCATTCATTAATGTTTTCCAAGTCTTCGTTAAGATGAAATTGAATACTGTTTGTATCGCTACCAGAATATGTAAGATTAGTGTCATCTGCATACATTCTGGGATGAGAATTAGATAAACAATTTGGTAAATCATTAATAAATACCAGAAACAGGAGCGGTCCTAGGATCGTTCCTTGAGGAATTCCACACTTAAGACTACATTTTTTTGAAAGTGACCCGTTAACAAAACATTTCTGCCTACGGTCTTTCAAATATGACTTAAACCATTTGTAGGCAACTCCGTGAATTCCATAGTTTCTGAGTTTAGACAACAAGATCTCATGGTTGACCGTATCGAAAGCCTTTTTCAGGTCTAGAAATACCACGGCATTAATATTGCCGCGGTCAATATTGTAAGACCAACTATCAGTGGCCTCAAGTAAAGCCGTAGCCGTTGAATGTAAAGAACGAAACCCCGACTGGTGTTCGGATAGCAAATCATGTTCTAACATGTATGCATAAAGTTGATTATGGATTATTCGTTCAAAGGCCTTAGCCATTACTGAAATCACAGAAATTGGGCGGTAGTTATTCATTTCATTCCGTGTACCTTGTTTAAAGATTGGAGTAACTTTGGCACATTTCCAATCTTCAGGAAATGTACCCAATAATAATGAAAGATTAAAAATATTGGTTATGGAACTAGAAATAAGATCAGCACATTCTCGAACAAGTCTGGCTGAGATCTGATCAAGACCGGTTGCTTTTGATTTGCATAGTTTGCTTAACACTGAAAATACTTGATCATTGTTAGTTTGCGTAAATTGAAACCTTTTGTCAGTGTTAATGAGATAATCAGTGTAACTCGTATGATTACTGCTTACTGGAATTTCACTAGCAAGTTTAGGTCCCATTGTCGAAAAATGCTCATTAAATGCATTAGATAAATCTGATGGGTTAGATATAGAATTACCATTCAAATTTAATTCCCTGACAGATGTTCTTTTTGATTTACGCGAGGTCAGGTCATTGACAATCTGCCATGTCTTTCGAGAATTGCCACTGTGCTGCATAAATGCATTTTTATAATAAGACTCTTTAGCGAGTTTAATTTCCTTATTTACAATATTTTGTAATCTTCTAAAATTGTCCCAATCACCAGGGACAGTAGAGTGTATAGCTTTTATTTTGGCTATGTCACGATCATGCATACGTTTTTTTAAATCAGATGTTATCCATGGAGAGTTCTTCAATCGAATACGCTTAGTACGTAGTGGAGCATGTTTATCTGCTATAGTTAAAAATTTACTTTTCCATTCAGCCCACATTAGATTAGGGTCTTGAGTGTTAGATAAATTGTAACTCCAGTCTTGAGATGAAATATCACTACGGGAGTTTTCTCGATTGAACTTCTTAAAATTTCTATAGGTAATGTAGTTATTTCCTTTACTAGATACAGTATTTAAAGATAATTTGCGGTAGACATAGATTAGGCTATGGTCACTTATACCGCAATGCGAGACTCCTGAACAAACTACCCTGTCTGGATAGTTAGTGTAAATTAGATCGATCAAGGTGGAAGTTGTTTTGGTAATACGGGTATGCTCATTGATTAACTGCTGAAGACCATATGTATCGGTAATGCTCGACAGCAGATGGGTATTGCTGTCATACTGAGTACTATCGTTAGCTAAATTACAGTTAAAATCACCCATTAAATAAAACTCGATATTTTCTGCATCAAGTCGTCCGATAAGGGACTCAAAAGAAGTAAATAACTCAACAGGAGAATTGGGTGGTCTATACCAGTTGACAACAACAAATGGTTTGGATTGAGGTTTTCGAATTTCAACACATAAATTTTCCAAATTTTTAAACTTTAAATCCTCACGTATTGAAAAATTAATAGTGGTTCTAATATAGAAACAAACACCTCCACCAAGTCGGTCTCTATCTCGGCGAAGTATTTCATACCCAGGGATATGTATTTCGCAATCATTAATCGAATTATCAAGTTCAGTTTCGTTGATTGAGAGGATATCTACTGGATAATTGACAAGCAGAATTCTCAGTTCATCTATATGTTTTATCAAACTAGCTATATTTAAAGAAGCTAGTTTGAAACCACGCTTTGCGGGAAAGGGTGGTATCGATTTCGTATTCAAATTGTTGCTATCGGCTATAGTTGTTTCAAAATTGAGATTAGATAAATTATTCAAGGAACTCTCATTAGGCACGGCATTCAAGGAAAATACATTTCAATCCTCCGGTTTAGTTACTATAGTATCCACAAAGTTTTTAAAAAATTTACAATTACCTTCATGATTTAAATGAAGTCCTCCTCTGTTCAAATCAGCGAAGCTAATGTTATTATGTTGAATAAGTGTCCAGCACAATTGTCAACATGTTTACATGAGACCGGTACGAAAATCACAAAATTTTCAATTTATTTCCCTTGCCAGGAAATTATCTTTTTCAGATGGCTTTTGTTAGCATGTGTTGTTCCAATGTTAAGGTTACAGCCGAGACCGGTCTGAAATAGTGTTTACATTCATCCCGGTCTGAATTCATGCCTGCCTGAAGTCAGTCGGTTCGGTTCAGCAGGCGGAATGACTTGAGACCGGTCTGAGTTATTTTCGTCCCGGTCTCATGTAAACATTTATTATAGATAATACTATGACAGAAACGAAATGGTCCCGGTTTGACTTCATCCCGGTCTCATGTAAACGGGGCCTTAGAGACACACGCTCTTAAAGAAGTTACAGTTCACAACCCAACGTTTCGACATACTGATCAAGACACTAGACCGGGGTATCGAAACATTGCGTCGTAAACTGTAACCTCTTTAAGTTAGGTCAATTAAATTTACAAGCCAGACCTGTTTGCTGTGAACATGTGTTTTATCAATGTTTTTCCTTGTATAAGTTTTTTTCATGTTTTTTCAGCGCCATGCAGCCGTATTCTGACGAAGAGCTGAACTTCTTCAAATTTTGGTCGATTGTCTTAAAGGAAATCCCAGATGCTTTGCGTAGCATCTTTTTAGACATGTGGAACACCAGAGTTGCACCAAGTTCCACGTTTTGGGATGACTCGCCTCTTGTACGCCATATACTCCACAACAATGAGGCTCCATGCACAAAAATCCCCACGAACAACTCATTTAAAGAGTGGAACTGCATTGCACTATTTCATGCCACTCTGTATGCAAGAACATTTGCGCTACCAGACAGCACAGGAAAGAAAAAGACGCTTGCGGAAATGTATTTAAAAGGACGAAAGCCAGCCCCTGCTCCATTCCACTCTGCCGTGAGAAGCTCGAGAGGAGATGCAAATGAGACGATTGCACTTGCCATTGATCAACTTCGTCTTTTACGAAACACCTTTGCTCATACATCCAGCCCTCAAATTAATAAAGTCACGTTCGATGACTATGTCAAGCACGCCAAAGATGCATTCACTGCTTTGAATTTTAGCACGATATCTCTGGAGAGGATTGGCAACATGAGAGAATCGGATTTTCCTACAAAGGAAGTAGAAAAACTTAACGAAGAAATCAATCGTCTGACAAGTGACGCTGAAGATGAAATGAGTGCAATGAAATATGAAATTAGTGAAGTGAAACAAAAACTGAGTAGCATCGAAGGAGTATTAACAGACACAAACGATACCACAGGTATGTTGTTTATGCAATATTATACCTAAAAAATTGATTTTCTTATTGGAAAACTGCATCTATACCATATTATCAATCAATGTATCGTTGAATCCTCCCAGACATATTTTTCAGCCTCGTAAGTTCTTATGCCCCATATTGCTCCACCCCAGGTGTATTATAGATAAAGTAGAAAATACATGCATGCAGAAACCCTCGCCTTGCTGACAAAACCATTATGTTTTCCAAACATGAAGTATTGTCATGGTAACAAAATAATTTTAAGAATAGTTTTAAAATGGAAAAATCAACCCAAAATACCACATTTAATTACAAAATGATTAATTTCCCAAACATGTACATGCTAGGTATGTTATTATGTGTAATATAAGCTTCAATTTAATGTAAAATTCATCCACAAACGCTTCGCAAAACGTTTTAAAATGTTCTGAAAACTGAACTGCCTTTCATCGGTAAACATTGAGTTTGAAAACTGAAAGAAACTGATTTCAAATCTTGCATGAAAATATCTTTGCTTCCTTTAAATAATTTAAATATTTTAATATACAAAAAAGGGTAATAAAAATACACTGAAATAATGTGAAACTATTTTCACTTTACTATACGCAACGGATCGTATCAGTTTTTAACGTAATTATAAAGCAAACAATACGGCAATAATATAAGAACAAACTTATACTGTACCTTCATTAACGTCGGCGACTTTGCTCCATACTTTTAGACGTTTTTAGACGGTTTTCGGCTTTCGAAAAGGTTTTGAAGTTTGCAAAATCTTGCAAAAATACAATATAGTTGCAAGACTGTTATTATGTTTGTCCATAGACAATCCAGAAGACAGGGACTGGAAACGCAAGCTAGAATATGATGACAAATCGTGACATCGTATCCCTGATGGTCCTGATGTGCCTGTCACGTAGCAATTACTTGGTTACCACGGTAACAAGTCTTTAAATTTACATAAAAATAAAGGCAAATGCGTGTAGTTTATGCAAAATATATCGTAAAAAAAGCGTATTATCTGAATTTTGGGATCGTAGTCGTGGAGCGGCTATACTAACAAAGGTAGATACATCCAAATTTTCATTTATTTCTATTTTATAGTGATGCTAAATGTAAAATTTGGATCGTGCTATCGGTAAATCGCGTACGCAGCAATTATTTCCAGAAAATACTGCCAAAACTAACCCTGTAAATACAAACTTAACCTGTTTTGTCTTTGACGATAAAGCCATTTGAAATCACAAGATTGTAATCTATCGAATAGGCCATTTTTTATATTAATTTGGTATCATATTCAGCAAAAAATGTTTACTGAATTTGATTGACAGAATTACGAAGTTGCTCGCCGGCAATTGTTATCGTCATATTATTCTGAAAACTCGCTGGCAAAACTAACCCTGCAACTGAAAAATAAACTATTTTTGTATTTTGTGGTCAAAGTATGTGTAATCACAAGATTGTAATTTATCGAATAGGCTATTTTTTATATCAATTTGGTATCATATTCAGCCAAAAATGTTTACTGAATTTGATTGACAGAATTACGAATGTTGTTCGCCGGCAATTGTTATTGTCATATTATTCTGAAAACTCGCTGGCAAAACTAACCCTGCAACTAAAAAATAAACTATTTTTTTACCCTTTGGTCAAAGTATGTGTAATCATAAGATTGTAATCTATCGAATAGGCTATTTTTTATATCAATTTGGTAACTTATTCGCCCAAAAATGTTTACTGAATTTGATTGACAGAATTACGAATGTTGTTCGCCGGCAATTGTTATTGTTATGTTATTCTGAAAACTTGCTGGCAGAACTAACCCTGCAACTGAAAAATAAACTATTTTTTTACCCTTTGGTCAAAGTATGTGTAATCATAAGATTGTAATCTATCGAATAGGCTATTTTTTATATCAATTTGGTAACTTATTCGCCAAAAAATGTTTACTGAATTTGATTGATAGAATTACGAATGTCGTTAGCCGGCAATTGTTATTGTCATATTATTCTGAAAACTTGCTGGCAAAACTAACCCTGCAACTGAAAAATAAACTATTTTTGTACCTTTTGGTCAAAGTATGTGTAATCACAAGATTGTAATTTATCGAATAGGCTATTTTTTATATCAATTTGGTAATTTATTCGCCCAAAAATGTTTACTGAAAATTTGACGGCCAAAATTACTTTTGCGCCAACTAGAAGATGGCCATTTCTGTTGCCCCCACTTCGAACCCTGTAACTATATTTAATTAAACTAGAAAATACATGCATGCAGAAACCCTCGCCTTGCTGACAAAACCATTGTATTTTCCGAACATGAAGTATCTAGAGCAGTTGTCATGGTAACACGATAATTTTTTAAGAATATTCTTACAAATCTCCTAAAAATATCACTTTTAATTACAAAGTTATCAATTTCCCAACATATATATGTTAGGTATGTTATTATAAGTAATATAGGCTTCAATTTAAGATAAAATTCAACCACAAACGCTTCGCAAAACGTTTTAAAGTGTTCTTTATAAAACTAAACAGCCTTTTATAATTAAATGGCTTTATCGATAAACTTTGAGTTTGCAATAAAATGATTTCAAATTCTCGCTTGCAAATAACTTTGCTTTCTTTTTTATTTAAATAATTCAATATAATAAAAAAGGGAATCAATATTAAAGATACACTGAAATGATATGCTGTCTTGTTTAGCTGTTTCATATACGCAAAGGCCGTCGGGTTTGAAATCCATTATAAAATCAATATTTAAAACAAACTTACCCTCGTTAACGTCGGCTCCCTTCCTTTAGCCGATTCTTTCGCCCTTTCTTTATGAGAAAACTTTTCAAATTTACAAAATCTTGCAAAAATGCGAACAAAAAATTCATCAATCATCAAATCAAGAAATGTTTGCTATTTCGCTGTCGTCATGCAGTCGTTATAATCCTTATAATGCAAATTTTAAATTGGACCAATCAGTGTCCGCTATTCATGACAGTCCGTCATATATTTGAGATCAGTGAAGATGACCACCCACGGTTGGTCACCCACGCCCGCGATATTTGATGAACTTTAGACTCCGCTAATGCTTTCGTTTCCCCGGGAGTAAATAGCCGGGGGGAATTAGTACCCTCGCACGGCGCTTCGCGCCGCCGGCTCGGGGATAAAGTTCCGAGTTTGTAATTTACATATTTTAAACAAAAATAGAACTGTGGATGCACTTGTCCCGTTTTGAAACTTATATCGGGTCAAACAAAGCCAAAAACGTCCTTTGAATGCTTGCGTAATGTTTTTCACTGAAAAAAGTCGCCATTGCCATTTGTTGTTGTCCGGCAAAGTTTGTACCGGCTAACTTCAAACCCTGCAACTACAGTTTAAATAAAGTTCAGGGTTTGCAATTTACATATTTAAAACAAATATAGACATGTGGATGCATTTCTCCGGTTTTTAAACTTATATTGGGTCAAACAAAGGCAAAAACTACCTTTTAATGATTGCGTATAATGTTTTTGACAGCAAAAAAGTCGTCATTGCCATTGGCATTCTTCAGTGTTGGCATTGCCGAAAGTTAAGAGTGTTAAACATACAAAACTCACCGTTAAAATAACTGAAACCTTGTTTTTATTTCTTTTAAATAATGGATGCCTTAGCGAAAAGGGTTTTCGTAAAAGAAAGGATTTGTTGTCAATATTAAAAATGGAAGGTATATTAATTTAAAAACCGAAATTGCCAAATTCAAATTTTAAAATGTAGATCAAAGAAAACTTCGAAAAGATAACTTCAATCAATTTATATAACGTAGTTACAGTGAAGCAAAATTGAATAAATATACGCAAACTTAATTAAAGTAAACTAAAATACGCAAACAAACCTGAATCGTGTCTGAAAGTCCACCCCAAATTGGAAATCAAAATTTTGAACAAGCTCGAAAATTCTCTGCACTCGTCTCTGAATATTAGCAGATCCGTTTTATAAACTTTACACACAATGTGATATACCTAATTCCCTTTTCGGTGTAGATTATTTAAACAA